ATCCAAAGACTGTTTCTTTCTCTTGGAGCTACAAAAGGAAACTATACTAGATAAGCCCTTATCTATATGTATTCAAATATATAAATCATACCTTCATCTAAAAGTAAGTTTGTTTCTTTGAATGTGCCTTAGGAGGATATTCCTGTATGGAATATGGGAATTTTCTGAATAGTGTTTTCAAAGGAAACATTTTCTTCATGACTTGGTAAAAAAATTCAAGGCCTGTTATAATCCCACCAGTACATATACACATAGAATTGTTGCTTGCATTAAAAAGCATGGCTGAACTGCTTAAAGAAATACCAAATTTGTTCTATTCTGTAGATCCATTGTTAAGTACTTTAGAAGGTAATAAATGATGCTGTAAGAAAATATTATGGACAAAGATTTCATGTATATTAAAATCATAGAAGTAAAATAATATTGATGAACCTGAAAATGTGATATGATGAGAAGCAAATTTGGATAGTTTTCTTCCTGTTCTTCAAGCTAGTATTTTCATGGTGTCTCATCTGTATTTTTTTTTATTCTGTTAGGAAGGAAGTTATGAGTTTGATCTAAATTAGAGAGACTGAAAAAAAAAAATCTCCCATCTATTTGGTTGTATTGGTTTCTGCTATGTTTCTGGAGTTGGTGGATTAAATGAATGACACTTGAAAAAGGAGCACCTTTACAGAAAACGATGAAACATTTTAGGATCATAATGCAAAATTATTCTATTGCTTTTGATTTTGTTGTAAAATTCCATTTAGATCAGGAGTGGGGAACTATGGCCCTTTTATGACTTGTGGACTTCAACTCCTGGAATTTCTGAGCCAGCTGGCTGTGGAATTCTGGGAGTTGAAGTCCACAAGTCATAAAGAGGCCATAGTTTCCGACCTCGGAATTAGATGAATGATGGCAAGTAAGGTAGAGCAGGAAATATTTTATTTGCCGGGGAAAAGATTGAAGGTGAAATTTGATATTTAAAAAATGGCTGCAGCATATTTAAACTTAGGGGTGGCTTTAAAAGAGGAAATAAAAGACTTAAAAAGAGATTAAGTCCCCTCTTCATGGCTGGTAGATATAATGGCAAGACATAGCGTTTCTTTAAATACTAGGTTCTTGAGAGCCAGTGATATCTACAGCTTATGGATTTCATGCAAGGATGTAGGTGGCTGCTGTGAGAAACAGAATCCTAAATTAAAATATCTTTATTCTGAACCAAAAGCAATTTATTTATTTTTTGTTAGTGGACTCAGATTATTTCATCAGTTAATTAAGTGACTTCATATGAACGTCCAACTTTTTTTAAAACAAAACCTGTATTCACATAATATGCTAGCTTGTGATGATTACAAATTTAATTAATTCAAATTTCGGGGTTTCTACAATATATTAGCCATACAAAATAGCACCCACATGAATTGTTCAAATTTAACCAATGTGGTAATTGTCAATTACAATTCTTTCAAAAAAATCCACAATTACAAGAAAGATTTTGCAGGGGAAATCTTTAAATGTATATTAATGTTTTAGAAGATAAAGGGTGGTGGTGATTATGATCCAAGTATTAAGATTAATATTCCTGTTATTTGGGATCCAAACATTTATAGCCCTGATTTGGAAAATGAAGTGATAATGAAACCTCATGCAGATCTTTAGTCAGAATGAATGGACAGCCATTAAGGCACAGATGAGAACAGCTTTTTAAATAATAATGTTCTCATTACCTCAATACAGTCATGTTAAAAATATCTAATTAAGAAACCTGAATATCTAACTCCAATGTTGGATATATTGATTTCTTTTTAGAGTTTTTATTTTACTATTAGCAACAAATGTAAAAACTCCAAAAAGTAGTCAATATATCCAACACTGGATTTAGATATTCAGCTGTCTTATTAAGATATTTTCATGTAAGATTTATTAGCTGTCCAATACCAATGGAGGATTTGATTTTTTTTGACACCTATGTTCACACAACATACAATAATCATAAACCTATATATTTAACAAAACAGAATCTCCTCATGAGATGTTATGCCTCACACAACATGGGTTAGGTTCACACAACATACAATAACTCTAAACCCATGTATTAAAAAAACAGAATCTCCACAGATGTTATGCCTAACATGTAGATGTTAATTTAATATCCTTTTAATATAAATTTGTTTGTTTATTTATTTATACAATTACCTGGTGTTCATGTCACAGTAATGACTCTGTGCAACTTACAAGGGTAGAAACACAGATTACAGATCCAAACAATAGTATCTGAGGTCAAAAACTGTAATCCCAACAAGTAAAATACAGTATTAACCAGCAGAGCTTGTGTATCCTCCAAGCCTGAATACCTGGGTGGAATAGCCAGGTCTGCAAGGCCTTACAAACTGCCAACTCCATTTTTATCTAATTTACTGCATTATTTGAATCTATCCTTAATATTCAAATAAATCTGATAACATGATCCAACTGAGTGAAGAAGTCCTGGTTTCCTTTTTATGGCAGCCATTCAGAGATTTGAAGAACATATCTGAAAGACTGCTTGACTCCAGTTGTTTCAATGTGGGTCAGCAGAGTAAGTTTACTCCAGGTTCCCTCTATTCAACGTTGTCATCTTGTAGTACTTAGGAAGTATGTCTTTCCTGTCTCCAGTTCATACCATTTGGAACAGTACTTTCTCCAGAAATAAGGATGGTGCCTTCTCTCCTAGGGTTCTGGACAACTTTGAAAACCTAGCTTGGGGTTGATGTTTATTATTTGTTAAAAGGACATGTTTTATTTTGTTGTTGTCTATTGGATCACTTTAGTCTGTGCTGTCTCTTTGAATTAATATTTTTAGCTGTTTTAATATTTTTTAGTTTTGTACATGACCCCCAGGGTCTACTGGAATGGCTAATAAATGTAAATAAATTTCCTAACTCTTTTCAACTCTAAATATTCCTTCAACATTTTCTAATAAAATAGTTTTTCCTGTATTTGACTGATCTCTTAATTCATTCTAATTAATCTATGCCTTTCTGAATTATTATATCCAAAACTGGATGTAATATTCCACATGGGTCTTATTAACGTGATTGGAATGCAGTCCTAAATCACTGCACCGTATTTATTAATATTAATATATTCTGAAATCACATCTATTTTGGTAACTATAAAAGGCACTATCCTCATTTTTAATTCATCTTACTAGGGCCCAAAGAAAGCTGTTGGGGAGGATGTGTTTAGGTTATATTTGCAACATGTACATATGGCTCATTTTGCTTCAGTGCATCTTTGATTAGTGACTCTTTGTAGTATCTTAAATGAGACAATAATATTTTACCAGGATTTTGAAACAAAAATGGCAATATAATGGGCATAACAATATAATATAGAATCTGTTGAACTGTAATGTCTGTTATAAAATTAAATCTAAATTCCATTGCCATTAAATTCTTAAGTTTTTTTTTTTTTTTGGGGGGGGGGGGATTATGTGGCAAACACATAGCCCCAGGAAAAGGTGTAGCTTACTTAAGAGTTGCTGAAGATGCTATATGTCTCTGTGTCCTAATCATTATTTCACTTTCATCATATGTGTATCAGAAATTTGAAATATTTATATCTACTGAAGCAGAAGATTTTCATTTCATTAATAGTGCATTGGGGAGTTTGTAGAATAGGAGAAATAAAGAATCTCCATAAAGAATTAATGAACTTTCCCCTTCTCCCATGTTGCTTAAATAAATACATTAAAGTAAAATTGCAGAAATTGACAACGCTTTTGTCTGTGTCTGTCTCAAATCCCTACTGGTGTTGCCTCATTTTTTGTGAAAATATGAAATAAACATTTCAGACAAGAAATCGGAGTCTCGCAAATTTCTGTTTGTAGTTTATGTGTATCAGTACTTTAAAGACTTTGGAAGAAAGAAATGTTTTTTTTATTTAATAAGATTTCTTTTAAAAAGGCAAGGCCATTTTATAGAACAGTATTAAGAATATATATATTCTATAGCTACTGATTTCAATGGAATCACTCATTTTCAACATGATCAGATAAAATCATGATCAGATAAAAGCTATATTGCAATAAATTGTCTATGTCTTTTTCTGAAATATATAAGGTTTTAACGGTCATATATTCATATCTTTTTTTATATTTGGCATGTAATGTGATGTTAGTGATACCAAATCTGTAAAATCTTACATATCATATATACAGAATACAAGCACATGCACACAAACATGAACATTATATTGTGCTTATATATATATATACATACATACATACATACATACATACATACATACATACATACATACACACATATACATATACATATACATATACATGCACACACACACACACACACACACACATACATATGTATGGTATTCAGCTTTGTTCGGGTATTTTCCCACGTCATTATAGTTGTGCTTTTAAAGTTGTAGCAACGTTTCGGCAGAATCTCATCTGCCATCACCAGGCTTCTGTATTGTGTTCGTCTGTATTCGTTACAGACGAACACAATACAGAAGCCTGATGATGGCAGATGAGATTCTGCAGAAACATTGCTACAACTTTAAAAGCACAACTATAATGACGTGGGAAAATGCCCTAACAAAGCTGAATACCATACATGTAAGTACCCACGAAAACTTAAGAAAACATAGATAGATAGATAGATAGATAGATAGATAGATAGTCCCTTGGGATTTCTTCTTTTTCTAAATAACATGCTAGTGAATAAAGCATATAAGGCAGGATGATAGAAATGCAAAATCTATTATATCTTTGTCTATCCTTCCTTTCACCTTTCCTTTGCTGCACTATCTTGTCTGTCTGATTCTCACAGGAGACATGGACTACAGCTGGGACCATACATCTTGGCATAGCAGTGAGGCATCCCCAATGTCTTTGGTGAGACATGTGGAGCCTTACCATTTAGTTTCCTTTACCATTTCATGTTTTCTTTGTTTTATTTACATCTCAGCATGTTTTCTTTCTTGTATCCTTTTTTATCCCATGCCTGTAGGGGACAGTCAAAGGGGAAAAAGAAAAACTAGTGAACAGGCAGTTTTGTCGGACTCTAACATCTTATCTGAAAGACAAAAGAAAATGGTGTGTTTTGGTGGCCAGTCTTTGGAAGAGGACTTGGAGTGGTCTGAACCTCAGATTAAGGACTCTGGGGTAGACACTTGTAGTAGCACAACTCTAAATGAGGAACATAGCCATAGTGAAAAGGTATTGGCTTTGTGGTGCCTGCATTTTAATCTGCTCATTTGGTCTTTGTTTGCTCTCTGTCACTCATTAAAACAGATCAAGAATACAAAGGCAGGTCTAATCTAACATTTCTTGAGGTGCAGAAAAGAAAAACAAAACCACAATTACGGATCACTGTGTGGATATCTAAAAAGTATAAGGAAGAACAAAATTATCCAGGCACTAAAAAGAAGCATTGCTTTTATGGACATGCAATACTATTTTGGTGATATTATCTTTATGATTAAACAATGAGAATTATTTCTGGATTGGCATGTTTAATTACCACTTAATGCCCCTGGGGTTGGAAATTAAATTAATAGTTTGATTCCCATGTTAAAAAAAATGGGAGAGGGGGAACTGTATCTATTTGGACAGAATTGTTTTTCTTTTTTCCCTTTCATTGCCATGTTCATTTGTTTTGTCACCGTGATATTATCTGCATTATGGGATAGTAGTTGTATCTGCTGTATGTGGTTTATTACTGCTCTTTCTTGCTTTCTGTTGTAGGCTATCACTGTTGCCAAATGTAATGTGCATGTTTATTTGTGTACATGTGAGAGCATGAAACTAGTACATTATGTGAAAAAATGCTATGATTATACAAAATCAGATGTTCTAAATTTGAAAACATTGGCTAAATTTTTCAGAAATACTGATATGTATTATTCTGGAACTTATGTGTAGTAAATAACAATTAACTGTTCAGATATAGCTAGTAGAAATGTTTAAATTATTAGTTCATTTAAATGAATTTAGAGGCTGAACATGGTGGGATTTATTTTCAAGTAATATGTGGCTTTTTAATTACTTAAGTTCATAATTCATTTGTTAACTTTTCAAGTATTTTTGTGTTAGATCCCCCATTCATGTTCTCTATATTTATAAATGATGTTCACTGTTTTCAGATCCATAATGATAAACTGAATTTGTTTACAATGTGTAGGTATGATTTCACTATATTTGGTATAGAAAGTTAGCTAGAAAGTTGTGAGAAATGACTTCTGATAATCTAATGGAATGATATGAACTCTGATGCCTATCTGCAAAAGCAGTGATAGTGTAATCATAGCTATTTCACAGTACATAATAGTGCCAAATAAATGTGAAGTTGGGATTCCTTTTCACAAATGTAATTTTGTTGATTTTTTATTTTGCTTAATGTATACTATAGCATCCTGTAACCTGGCAGCCATCCAAAGATGGAGATGGCTTAATTGGCCGAATTTTGTTAAATAAACGCCTAAAAGATGGAAGCGTGCCTAGAGATTCAGGAGCAATGCTTGGACTTAAGGTTAGTAGTCAAATTTTTCAGTTCAGATGCAAATATTTTTTATTAGAAATAGTTATTCTTTTTTATATATCTTAATACTATTTTCCAAAACAAAGATACTACTTACAACCAATTTTAAAAAAAGTACTTAATCATAAGAATCCATTGGAGTTGGGTGACCAATATGTTTGAATAAATATTCTCTAGATGCTTTATTTTTTCTTGTTATAAATTTATTAAGAACTATTAATTAAATTAAACTAAATTAACTAGTTAATTAAAATCAGAGCACATTACAACTCTGTTCTGTGAGTTGCATTGGTAGCCAGTTTTCTTCTGGGTTTATTTATGGTGTTAGTAATGACCTATGAAGTCCTAAGTGACATAGGGCTGGGTTATTTGAGGGATTGGCTCTTACCCCATCAGGTCTGGGAGAAGGGGTATGTTACGGGTATCACCCACTAAGAAATATTATCTGATGGGGCCTAGGAGGAGGGCATCCGCCCTATAGAAGATTATTCTCCATGAGGTTAGATTGGTCCTAACCCTGTTGACCTTCCCAAAGGGCTTGAAGAAAGGGTTTGTCATCATCTCTGGGGATCCAGTGATGGTGTGGAGTCTGCAGAATGATAGTACTATTAGTAAAATGGATTGCACTTTCCTGCAATTTGTTTTTCTGGGCTTTAATGGTTTTTAATTAAGTGTGTCTTAATGGCTTTGTTCTTAATATTTTGATCATTTCTTTGCATTGTTTGGGGTTGTTTAACTGTGTGAGGCGCCCAATCACGTATGTGAGATAGGCAGCAATAAAATGTGAACAAATAAATAACATTTTAATAACATCAAATTAAAGCATTACCAATTCAAAATCTTTCTGGACCTCAAAACAGTTCAAAAGGAGTATTTGAGCAAATTTAGAGCAGATTTGCAAGAAACGAGAAAGATGTATGTAAAGAGAAATAACATTGTATGAATATGTATGTATGTATGTATGTATGTATGTATGTATGTATGTATGTATGTATGTATGTAACATTGAATGGAGGCCTATACTCACTTAAATTTATGTTAGCTGAATATAGGTTGCTCAGCAACTTCATATGATCAGTTATATTTAGTGTGGCTTAATATAGACTAGAAATATTGTGCATCATTTTCATACCTGGCTATATTTAGTATATTTAGCCTGACCTGCCTGAAAGTGTTATACATAATTATTTGCATATACATTGCAGATTAAATATTTGATGATCTTTCCTTGACAATGTAGTTGGAAACAACTGGAGAATAAAACTCAATCCCTCAAGAATAAAAAATACAGATGCTACATATGTCACACGCTCAGTTGTGTGACTTTCATAAGTTCATTTTACAGAAATTCAATTCCCACTAAGGGATTTGAGCCCCATTGAAAGATCATGGCTACAGATATGTGATAATACTTATCTAAAGAATGAAATCTGTTATGTACTGCTCCCTGATGGTCTCTATAAGTAAAAATATACACAAAGTATACACTGTGTAATAATGAATTCCTCCCCTCTGAGGCTAGGGAAGTCATATCAAACCTTGTAAATGAGAGTATGTAACACCTGCATTCCTCTGATCTGAGAGCTTAATAAAAAGAGAAAGTGAACTCAATATACCATTCTAAAGATAGTTCTTGCAGTTTAATATTTTGCCTGCATCTGTCACAGTCTTTCTTCCAAGTAGTGGATCTAGTTATGATCCCTATTAGTTTTTTGAGCAAATATCAGTTAAATAAATTGGATGACAGTATACAATTTTGATGTAGTCTGTTCCCAGTTTTGAAGCATCTAGTTGCTTAATATTCTATTCTTATTTGCCACTTCCTAACCATCATCCACATTTTTGAATAGGCAGATGAAACGATCCAGTTCTTTTACATTTTTAAGGGTTATCTACAGTTTGTTGTCAGCTATAATCAAAAAGATAGTAAAAAAAAAATAGACATCTTTGTGGAACTCCCTTGCCTTCTCAATTATTCATTGAATATTGGTAGTATGATCCTTGTTGCTCTTGTCTCTTCTGAATCAAGCTTGTATATCAGGCAGTTCTCTTTCAAGTATTGTTGATGTCTATATTGCAAAATCTTAAAGACTAGTTTACTATCGTGTGAAATACAGTTGATTAGCAATCTGAGCATCCTTTAGCACAGTGCTTTTTGATATTGGAATACACATTTATATTTTTCAATCACTTGGCCCCTGATCACTTTTCCCTAGGTACTTATAAATTGTCACTTGCACTCTAACTATCTCATTTGCAAAGTTTAAAACACTTCTTTTTGTATTTCATCAATTCCTACAGCTTTGTAATTTGCAATATTTTTAGGACCCATTTAATTTCACTTTCCAGAATGTTATTCAGTGATACATATTAATTAATTTAGGGATATTTTTTCTACAGTTCTTCAATATATTCATACTATCTCTTGTGCATGTGTTCTTTCTTCAGTAGATCTTTGTCTCTCTATGTGTAACTCATTTCTCATGTTAGCACTGTGCAGGTTGCTTCCCCACAACTATAATTTAAACATTAAAAATTAAAGTTTTTTTTAAAAAAACTTTAAAATGCACTAGGATTCCATTACACGTTTTTGAATATAGTTTGGAATGAATTAACAAACAGAATCGTTTAATGAAATTATGTATAGATTTCTGGGCACTTAGATATACATATGCAAAAAAATGTTTGTGGAAGTGATAAATTTTCTCTCATTATAACAGAGGACTTGGATACAACTTGCAACCATCTGTTTAGCAACCATTTGAAGTTATAGTGGCAATGAAAAAAGTGACTTCTGACTGAGCCTCACACTTTCGACTGCATTCCTGTGGCCACATGATAAAAATTTCAGCTCTTGGCAATTGGCGTGTATGGCATGTATGGCGTGTACAGTTACAATATCCTGGGGTCATGTGATCACCATTTGCAGTTACTAAACAAGGCAGCTGATAAGTGAGGGCAACCTATATGTTCAATTTTTGTGTGTCAAAATACTATATAAACTAAAGTGAACCAATTTACAGTAACAATAATATACACTTCATAATTATAGGTTCTGTAGATGCACTGATGCACATATTTTTATATGAAATTTGTCATTGGCTTGATGGAGGTAGCCTGATCGAATCAACAGCTCTGAACTAAACTAAAAATATTTCTGGAAAATACCCATAAGAAAATATTGGTCTATTTTTTAATGTCCTGATCAATTAATTCTAATATATTTGATGTAAGTTTGGGTACCAAATTAAAACTGATTTGAGGAAAAAAAAGACCTTTGTGAACTTTTAAAATATTATTTTAATCATATGTTTAAACAGGTGGTTGGAGGAAAGATGACTGAATCAGGCCGACTATGTGCATTTATCACCAAAGTAAAAAAAGGAAGTTTAGCTGACACAGTTGGACATCTTAGGCCAGGTATGAAAGCTGTTTTGAATTTCATAATTGAAAAATGATAGTTCTGGATTTTAGTCTGGTTTAATGTATGTGTTCAGTACTGGGATGCACAACTGTGTTATTAAAACCTTTCCTCATAATAGTATGTATCTTTATTTTGTTGCAAAATTTGAAATTATTCATTTTTAAGTTTTTTCCAGCATATGTGATGTGTATATATTTATAATGATAATTACAATTATGACAGATAAATAAGAAACAAATGATAATGGTGAGAAGGTATGATAACCCATATCTGTTATTTGAAAATAATGATGTGTGTATTAGAAAATATTTCTCTGGGCATTTTAATATTTGGTCATATTCAGAAACCTTTTCAAGTTACTTTGTCCCTGATAGCTTATAGTTTTAAAGCTGAAACTCAATAATTTGAATCAGTGGTGGAATTCAATTTTTTTTTACTACTGGTTCTGTGGGCGTGGCTAGGTGGGCGTGGCAGAGGAAGGATACTGTAAAATCTCCAGTCAGAGGTGGTATTTGCCGGTTCTTCGAACTACTCAAAATTTCCGCTACTGGTTCTGCAGAACTGGTCAGTACCTACTGAATACTACCTCTTATTTGAATTGAACATAGCAGGAAACAGACACTGACATTCTACTTAATTTAAAATAAATTAGAATTAAATGTGCCATTTAAATTACATGAGGGAATAAAAATATTTTAGATAGTAAAAGGAAAACAGAGATATTTCTCTGTTTCTCATACAATCATATGCACTTGGTGTTACGTTATGTTCCTAGATTTTTTTTTAAAGGCTAAGCATTTTTAATGAAGTCCCACTGAAAATAAATATATATAAGGTGGTTGAGATCACTTGTATTATACTAACTTATTTTGTGGATCCCCATCATTTTGATTATTTGCCATCAACTTGGTTGACTCTTAATGATCACATGGATAGGTTTTTCTCCCCAAGTTAGTTCTTCAGATTTTCCAATATACTGGTACGTCCACCATCAGTACAATTAAGTGAATTCATATTGCTGCTGTTTCTTTCCATCTTTTTATTTAAGAGTCCTATTTATTTATTTGGGAAGTGGAATATAGTTTCATCCTCAACTTAAAGATGTCCTTTTACCCAGGAGAATATCCAGGAGAAGCCATTTGTTGCAACTGTTATTTAAAATCAACATCTAACATGAAGATTGTGGAAATCATTGTCTTATTTTAAATATATTTATTATTTATTTTGTATTCAGTTGCAGTGTTCTATTGAACTTATATTAAAAGACAAGTAAGGTGAAATAATGTTGTACATACTTTATTTTAAGAACAAATACGCTAATCAAAGTAAAATTTTCTTTTAATTGATACATTTGTTATTTAAGTATAAATGCATTTTGTGTTATTGAACAAAGTTCACATATAGCCTTTAAAAAAAATTGAACTTAAGCAAATTATAATGATCAAATGTCACTAATACTGATAAGAATTCAGAGATCTACTTTTCTTCAGTAAACAGATTATGATGATTATACTTTTAGGTGATGAAGTATTAGAATGGAATGGAAGGCTTTTGCAAGGAGCCACATTTGAAGAAGTGTATAACATCATTCTTGAATCCAAACCAGAGCCACAAGTAGAACTTGTAGTTTCAAGGCCAATTGGGTGAGTTATATTATAGAATGCTTCTTTAATTATTTAAAATTTGCACACAATCTCATTAATATTCAGTAGAATAGAGCAGAATAAAATTATTGGCCAAGTGTGATTGAACACACAAGGAATTTGTCTTTGGTAAATATGCTCTCAGTGTACATAAAAAATAAAATACATTCTTTAAGAATCATAAGATACAACACTTTGTGAGAGTCATAGGTTACTAATAAGCAATGAAATCATACTAGGAAACAAATAAAACAATATAAATTGTAAAGATACAAGTAACATGGTTATAGTCATAAGTGGGAAGAAACAGGTACTAGGAAGGATGAGAAGAATAATAGTAATACAGTCTTAGTAAATAATTTGACAGTGTTGTGGGAATTAGTTGTTTAGCAGAGTGATGGTATTCGGAAAAAACTGTCCTTGTGTGTAGTTGTTCTGGTGTGCAGTACCCTATAGCATCATTTTGAGGGCAGAAGTTGAAACAATTTATGTCCAGGATGTGAGGGGTCTGATATTTTCACAGCCCTCTTTTTGACACACGGATTATACAGGTCCCCAATGGAAGGCAGGTTGGTAGCAATTGTTTTTTCTGCAGTTCTAATTATCCATTATAGTCTGTGTCTGTCTTGTTTGGTTGCAGAGCCAAACCAGACAGTTATAGAGGTGCAGATGACAGATTCAATAATTCTTCTGTAGAACTGAATCAGCAGCTCTTTGGACAGTTTGAGCTTTCTGAGTTGGTGCAGAAAGAACATTCTTTGTTGTGCTTTTTTGATGACGTTTTTGATGTTAGTTGTCCATTTTAAGTCTGGAGACATGATAGAACCTAGAAACTTGAAGGTCTCTACTGCTGATACTGTGTTGTCTAGAAGTGGTTGTATAGGAGGGTTGATACTCTACTGTTGATACTGTGTTGTCTAAGAGGTGGTTGTATAGGAGGGTTTCTCCTAACATCTACTACTATTTCTACGGTTTTGAGTGTGTTTAGTTCAAGATTGTTCCAGTTGCACCACAAGGCTAGTTGTACAACCTCCTGTCTGTATGCGGAATCGTTGTTGTCTCGAATGAGACCAATCACTTTTGTATCATCTGCAAACTTCAGTATTTTAACAGAGGGATCAATGACTACAGAGATGTAGTCATTGGTATATAGAGAAAAGAGAAGCAGAGAGAGCACATAGGCCTGGGGGGCTCCTGTGCTCATTGTACAGGTATCAGATATGATTTTACCTAGCTTCACCTGTTGCTTCTTATCTGTTAGGAAACTTATGATCTATTTACAAGTGTGGTCAGGTACAATTAGCTGATTTAGTTTACTTAGAAGAATATCTGGAATGATGGTATTGAATGCTGATCTGAAGTCTACAAAGAGGACCCTTGCATAGGTCTTTGGACATTCAAGATGTTGTAGGATGTAGTGTAGAGTCATATTAACAGCATCATCTGTCGATCTATTTGTTTGGTAGGCAAATTGCAGGAATCTTAACAGCGGATCCGTGATGGTTTCCAGGTGGACCAGCACAAGCCTTTCAAAGGTCTTCATAACTACAGATGTTAGAGCAACTGATTTGAAATAATTCAGTTCCTTGATGAAAGGTTTCTTCGGCACTGGGATGATAGTAGAGCATTTGAAGCAAGTAGGAACATAGCACATCTCTAGTGATGTATTAAAGATGCGGGTGAAGTTGGTCAGCACAAGCTTTTAAGCAAGAAGGAGTTATCTTGTCTGGGCCTGGTGCTTTTCCTGGCTTTTGTCTGTGAAATAGACCTTGCACCTCTTTCTCTGTAATCACCAGAGGTGCTGGGCCCAATGGGATGGGATAGGTTGTAGGAGGATTGGCTGTTGTTGGTGTGTCTGAGATGGGGATTGTGGAAATGGGTGGCAGTAGCTTTCTCCCAAACCTACAGTAAAACACATTCAGGCATCTGCCAGTTATTGATTTCCTTCAGCATGGGAAGAAGGTTTGCTATAACCAGTGATATTTTAAAGAGTTTTCCACATGTTTGCTGGTTCATTTGTTGAGAACTGATTCCTTAGCTTTTCATAGTAGTTCTTTTTGCTGCTCTAATCTCCCCTGTGAATACATTTCTGGCCTGATTGTACAGTATTCTATCACCTTTTCTGTAGGCTTCCTCTTTGGTATGATGTAGCTGCTTAAGTTTAGTTGTGAACCAAGGTTTATTGTTACTGTATATTCTGAGGTTTCTGGTCAGCACACATAGGTCTTCACAAAAACTGACATATGCTGTTACAGTATCTGTGAGTTCATCCAAGTCTGCAGAGGTACCTTCAAAAACATTTCAATCAGTGCAGTCAAGGCAAGCCTGTAGCTTTAGCTTTGTCTCCTCAGTGCAAGTCTTCATTGATTTAAGCAGGTACAAGGTGTAAGCAGGTACAAGGTGAATAATACAACGATGAGAGTGTCCCACAGCTGCTTGTGATAAAAACTGATAAGCATCTTTTAATGTTGTGTAGCAATGGTCTAAAGTATTCTTGTCTCTAGTGAAACAATTGACATGCTGAAAATATTTTGGTAGCACTTTCCTTAAGTTTGCTTTATTAAAATCTCCTAAAACAATTGGAAATGAATCTGGGTGTTTAACTTCAGCCCATATAATCTAGTCAGCTAGAGTTTGTAATGCATTGTTTACACAAGCTTGTGGAGAAACATACACAGAAATTAGGAGAAATGAGAACTCACATGGAGAATAAAATGGTTTGCAATTGATAATTAATGTCTCTAAGTCCACATCACAGAATTTCTTTAGTATAGTTATATCTCTGGACCAGCGACTGTTAATATATAAACATAAGTCTCTTCCCTTCATTTTACCAGATGTTTCTGCAATACTGTCTGCTCTTTGTATCTGAAATCCTGGGATATTTAGTATTTTTTTTTTAGTATTTATTTGATTTGTCAGTTGCTTACAAGATACAGGTATAAGAATAAACATAGTTTTGAATACATGAGATAGATACTTACAAGAAAAATAAAAAGAAACAATGAGACAGGGATGGTAGGCAGGATTGATGTGCTTATGCACGCCCCCTACAGGCCTCTTAGGAAGGGGGTGAGGTCAATAGTAGAAAGTCTAAGGTGAAAGTTTTTGGGGTTTGGGGAAGAAACCAGAGAGTCAGGTAGAGTATTCCAAACATTGACCACTCTGTTGCTGAAGTCGTATTTTCTGCAGTCAACTTTGGTGTGGTTAACCTTGAGTTATTATATATTGTGTGCTCTTGTATTGTTATGATTGAAGCTGAAGTATTCATTTGCAGGTAGGACATTGCAATGGATGATTTTATATACTATATTTAGATTGGACCGGAGATGGTGTAGTTCTAGGTTTTCTAGGTCTAGAGTTTCAAGTCTGGTGGCTTAAGGTATACTGCAATGAGTAGAGGAGCGGAGAACTCTTCTTGTGAAATATTTCTGGACTTTTTCAATTGTTTTAATATCAGATACATGATATGGGTTCCTGACTGATGAGCTGCATTCAAGTATAGGTCTAGCAAATGTTTTGTGTGGCCTAGTTAGTAGTGTGATATTACCAGAGAAGAAGCTATGTAGGATTAGGTTAACAATTCTTAGTGCCTTTTTAGCTATGTAGTTACAGTGGGCTCTAGCACTTAGATCATTAGAGATGAGTACTCCAAGGTCCTTGACAAAGTTTGGATCCTCAACAAGGTCTTGATTATTTAGCTTGTATTTTATTTTCTGATTTTTTTTGCCAATATGTAAGAAAGAGCATTTATTTGTTAAGATTAGAAGTTGCCATTTGATTGACCATTCTGATACAGGTCTTTTTGGAGGGTAGTAGTATTGTCTGTGGTGCTGAATAGCTTTACTACATCAGCGAAGAGAATGCAGTTGCTCTTAATATGATCACAGAAGTCGTTTCTGTGAAGTATGAAGAGAGTTGGTCCTAAAACACTGCCTTAAGGGACACCACTGTTGACAGGTACAGAATTTGATAGGACGCTCCCAATTTTGACCATTTGTTGTCTGTTTGACAGGAATGCTTCTATCCAGTTATGTAGGTATCCAGAGATACCATAAGATTTTAGTTTTCGTAGTAGTTTGTTGTGTACCACTGAATCAAAGGCTTTACAGAAGTCTATGTAGATTGCGTCTATGCTTTGCCTTGATCGAGTTGTGTAGTCCATATGTTTTTTGCAGTGTAAGAGTTGCAGATTACAGGATAGTTTTTTTCTGAAACCAAATTGTTTATTGGAGAGTAGGTTGTTTGTCTCTAAGTGGAGGATAATGGATTGGTTAATAATTGATTCCATGACTTTACAGGTGACGCAGCCTAAGGAGATTGGTCTGTAATTTTCAACTAGGCTGGGGTCTCCCTTTTTGAAGATGGGGATGACTGTGGCTTGTGACCATAGTTTTGGCAAGGAGCTGGTCCTGAAAGATTTTTCAAAGATTATGCTTAGAGGTTCAGCTATGGCAGTGGATAGCTTTTTAAAGAAGTAGACATATATTCCATCCGGTCCAATAGATAGGGATGGTTTTAGATTGCGTAGTGCTTTTTCAACATTGACTTCTGTAAAATCGATATGTATTAGATCATTGTAGTTGTCTGTGGTTCGAGTAGGAAGTACTGGGCTTGATCCATTGCTGTTTACAAATACTGAGCCAAAGAATGTGTTAAAGAACTTTGATGGTGTCGTCGTTGCAGTCTTTGCCATTAGGTCCTTTCAGGGGTGGGATGGACCTTGAGTCTTTTAGTTTGTTGTTTACAAAATTGTAGAAAGCACGGGTGGAATTGGTGCATAGAAGGTTTTCCTGTTGTTGAATGTGATAAGTAGTGCATTCAGTTTTTATCTGGCGGCATAGATTTTTGTATTGGCTTTTGAAGTTGGCAACTTCAATATGCAGGCTTCTATTATCAATTGACTCATTTAGCCAAGTTTCAATGAAGCAGAGAACTGCTGAGTTGTAAAAATCAGAATTGCATCTATTTAGAATTAAGTATTTCATACATCTTATTAGCAAGTGAACATAAATTAGTTGAAAGAGTGAAGGGAGAGGGGTTTGTATCCCACTTTTCCTTAGTCTATTCAAAATTCCCGCTCTCTTACCCCTTCTTTGCTTCTGGCATCTCCATTTGTTTTGTTTATCCATCGTTCAGAGGAAGTTGCTTCTTCCTTTGTTAGAATCTCTTCTGCATTTGTAAAGTGGGGTGGTTTGAAGTCACAGAAAGCTGTCCATCAAAGAAACATTGCTTGATGTGTAGTAGTTGGTCTCTTGAGTATGAAATGTGTAGAGAATCACAGAGAATGCTAAAAAACTATCAGAGAGCATTTCACCAAGGCTACATTCAGCAGCGCCATCTTGGAATTTTCAAGCTGAGTTTATATCATACAAAAACAGAAAGATTAGAGAAGATTTAGTGTTCTATAACCAATTAACATTCATCCTTATTTTACTTCCTTTTACTACTCAAATGTCTTGATTACTGCAATGATTAATGATATCTGTTAAATGGGATCTCTTTATGTAATGTTTCAATTTTTTAAAGCTTTTAAAGACAGTTAAGATCACTCATATATTTTTCTATATTACATTTTAATCAGTTGAAAAGAAGATTACAAAATACTGTTTCCAGTTTAATTTTGATATTCAGAAACTTATTCTGAATACGTACAATTTTGGAGTTTCAAGTGTTTTATTATGTTTCCTTTATTTTCACATTTATTATATACTAGCTGGCTATGATGGCTAGATACAATATGATTATATTTTATTCTTCATAATTGCAGGGATATTCCCAGAATACCTGACAGTACGCATGCACAGTTGGAGTCGAGTAAGTTTTATTTTTAGATGTAATATCCATCTGAAAATCGAGGTATAGCTACTTCTCTATTTCTACATACATATCTTCGTTATGTTTTACCCTTTCTTTAATAACTGTTTTGTCAGAAGTCAGTAAATACAATGTTTATATGTTCTTACTATTCTTTACTGAAAAAAATATAACATTATGGGTAAATTAGAATTGATGTTGTTCCTATCTTTTAAGTTTTTTTTTTATTCTCTTTTGTTTACTGCAATCATTAAATAAAATGTACTTTATGATGATAGAGAGTTTAAAATAATAATGTTGATAAGATAAAGTGGTATACGATTTAGCTTTGTCCCAATGTTTGCTGTATGGTAAGATATACCAAAGAGAACAATAGTTTCAATATAAAGTGCTTGTAAAATAACCACACAGCTTTTCCCTTATATTGACTTTCTGAAGATTTAAATTTTCAAGTATTTTTATGGCTTTAGTAAAATTCAAACATTAAGTTTATTATATAATTGTCAGCAGTTTCAGTGTTTTCCTAGCCCAGCATGAAAAAAAACTGCAATATATTTTCTGTAAAAAGAAAAATACTAATTTTTATATATATTTTTTCTAATTGGTAAAATGTTACTGAAGTTTATTTAATCCAGCAGTAATTTGAGAAGCACATCAATTTCTCTGAGGAGCCAAATATAGCGAACATGGCAAATTACAGAATTTTAGTCTTTAGATTGTCAGGGTTTATAGTATCTATAATTTATTATGTTTTTAATTATCGAGCTGCATTTGTTCAGCTTTAGCTGCATTGCTTTCATTTGCTTAATGTTCTATTTAAATAATTTTTGGTATATAATATATATATAAATTTTATAGTGTGCTTATCAATGTTTGAATGCTTTTTCTTTTACATATAAAAATACAGAACTATGTATCTGGTAATTTAATGAATTAAAATGAATTATACTTTCAGGTTCTAGTTCATTTGAATCTCAGAAAATGGATCGGCCTTCCATATCAGTCACTTCTCCCATGAGTCCTGGCATGTTGAGAGATGTTCCACAGTTTTTATCTGGACAACTTTCAGTATGTAAACAATTGTTGAGTGTAGTAATCCTTGTTTTTATCAATACAAATTTTCTTAAGTGACAATGCCAAGTATGCACTAAAATTGTTTTAGCTTGATTTTTTTTTCATTCAGTTTTTTTTCTCAACACGAATAAGTCTACAGCCATTTTATGCTGTATTTGGAATATGTATGTGTTAATTCTAAATTAATTGAATATTATATGTAACAGAATTTTATCTACATCCACCAACTATGAACTATACTCAAGGGGAATGCAATCCTCTATTGATAGAATTAGATAATTAGATGTATATGTACTGTAATTTAAGCCACCCACACAACTTTCCTTTCAGATAGTTATGTCAGGGATTGGTAGCCTTTTTTCAAGCTAATACCAGGTAACCTTTACTTGTTCTTTGATTGAAGTACCAGAAGATGCTTTCCAAAAACTAGGCATATCTTGATTCACAATAATATAATATAATAAAATTAAATTAATATGTTTACTCCCTGTGTAGTTAATCATTTCTCTTTTCTAAAATATTAAATATTAAAATAAAGTAAACAAATCTGAGGGGTTCTTAGTTTGTAATGCAGCTGATTTGGTTATTTCTCTACCAGCTAGAGAAGGTATAAAATATTAGTATAAAATATTAAAAAGTATAAAATATTAAAATTTTACCTATTTCTTCTATTTCTTTATTTTGAAATAATAATAATGCTTCCATTCTACAACATATCCAGACAAGAAGGACAATAGAACAGTTTTCAACATTCTTTTAAATAACAAAATTTGTACATGTTTACAGTGGAGATTGGGTGAGTGGGTAGTGTGTACTTGTGCAACGTCTTTTCCACAATTTTAGAATCATTATAATAATTTGAAAAGAATACATAGCAAAAGTATAAAATATTAAAATTTTACCTATTCCAACTTAGATGGATAACTATTTAAGTCTGTGGTGATAATGTGCCAACAGATGCCATATCTCTTTTGCTGATTATAGTAATCATACAAAATTACCACTCATCATTTTCATTCTTTGAAAGCTCTTTGAAAGGCTATTCTTTTTTTGAAAAGATATAAACAGAGAACATTTGAATTGATGAGTAGCATTTATGACACCATGCCTGGTGGCACGAAACAATTATCTAAGTGTATCATATTTTCTGAGTTAGTTTAAATTCAATCTAGTTTTCTGAGCTAACACACTAAAATGTAAATTACTTTGTAGCATACTTAAACTGTGATGGAATAATTTGTAATCTGGAGTGTTCTGTGAACATACATTTTTTGTTGAAAACTGTGCTTTTAAAGAATTTTTGAGTTAGAAAGGATCTGATTTTTTGAATCTATGCAACAGTAGCATATTTACAGTTACTTTTGACCCAACATGATGAATTGTATTTATTTATTATAACTCTGCTCCCAGATTACTTACTGTAAGATCACAAGATTGCAAAGTATCTTATATCAATGCTCATTAATAAATACTAATAATGAATATTACTAATAAGAAAAGAAAGCACAAAGTTGTGGTCTTCCTTCGCCTGGCATTATTGGTGCAAGACTACTAGAGGTTGGTTTTATGAGGGAGGACATAGTTAAGCTGAAACAGGTTCTGATATAGTCCTTAATTTTATTTCTGTTTAGACCAAAAATTATGAAATTTGTACAATTTTCCATATTCTCCAGCAGAACTATATATTTCTCCCTCCATTAGAGCACGGGTGTAAAATTTGCAATGTTACATTGTCATAATGTGATGTATCATGAATTTTTTCCTCTTTGCCAAACTGTGTGTGGCTGTGGCCTGTGCATAACGCATCTGGCCCGTGGGCTACGAATTTGACACCCCTGCATTAGAGAGAGAAAAGAGTTCCTTGTCTGAAAAAGTTCAATTGAGTAAGCAAGTCTCTAAGTATATTATATTGGAGAATGCTTATCTAATCTTATCAAATGAAAAGAGAGAATGAAGTTAATGATGGATAATAGTTCCTGCTGATTTTCCCATATTTTATCTTGGATAAGTAAGAAATTATATGGCCATATAAATATACAGGTAGTCCTCAACTTACAATCACAATTGATCCCAAAATTTATGTTGTTAAATGAGACATTTGTTAAGTGAGTTTTATCCCATTTTATGACTTTTCTTGCCTCAGTTGTTAAGTGAATCACTGCAGTTGGTAAGTTAGTAACCTGGTTGTTAAGTGAATCTGGCTTCCCCAATGACTTTGCTTGTCAGAAGGACACAAAAGATGATCACATAATCTTGGGACACAGCAGTGGTCATAAATATGAACCAGTTGCCAAGCCTCTGAATTTTGATCACATGATCATAGGGATGCTAGAAAGGTTGTAACTGTGAGGAATGGTCACTTTTTTCAGTTCCGTTGTAATTTTGAATGGTTGCTAAATGAACTGTTGTAAGTTGAGGAGTACCTATAATACACTATTTAGAATTCACCAAAAATGAATGTCAACATGTTATTTATTTTTGAATATTTCATGTGCACAGTCCATATATTAACATACTCGCCTATATTATTTGACATATACTTCAAGCTATACTTCAAGACTTGTTTTGCCCGTATACTGCAGAGTTCATTTTGATGCTGGATAGAAAAGGTTTTTTTTCTTGACTGGAAATGGAGAAAAGATGTAGAATTTAGATGAGTTATGGTATTATGTACAGTATTTTCCTTTTTTTGCCAGATGTTCCCTTGTAAATCTCTCAATGGAAAAGAATGAGAGTGAGACTATTCCCATTCATTATTTTCACTCTTATTTATTTTATAAAATTTATATAGCTTGCCCATTTAAATACTAATTAATTGTAACATATAATAGATATTAATACCTTGGGAAGCAAAAATCATACAAAAACCTTAATCAATTAAAATATTACAGTACATATGGCATTATATAACTTACTGTGTTTGTTTCCTATGTAACTGCCTTTCTTCTGGAGGATGTTTTATTCCTCCACAATTACTAAGTGGAGGGAAAAAAAAGATTGCTGGGCTATTTGAATATGCCTTATTGACCCATGTTGACAATTCATCATATTATCCTACTGCCTAGACCCCACAATTGTAATCCCACCTACAAACAGCAACAACCCAGAATAAGTGTACCATAAAATTCATAATTAGAAAATTAATAGGAGATGCATACATAATTATCAAGCAGGGGCATACATAAATATTTTAAAGGGGTCTACCACAACTTTCCACAACCAACTCACCATTCCTACTATTCTAGGAAAAAATATTACTTATATTTGGCACCTGTTGATCATTATAATGTTTTCGCTATCTTGAGATTTCCCATTCAAATGGAGCTTAGTTTATCCATGTAGCATGCAAAGACTTTATAGCCAAGGTCCTTTCTCAGCTTCTTTTTTCTGAATAAAGCTTGACTTCCTAGAATCCATTTAGACTTCCCATTTGGTCTAAGTTTACTAGAACTTGCAATTCTAAAATGAATTCAAAATATTGATTTATGTTTAGAGACAATCTTGATCACTGTGGATACTGAAGCTTGGCAGTCATGAATTTTAACTTTTGGCATCATTTGTTTTTGGACACTGTTTTAAAATGACCTTTAAGTTATTGGCAAGCTTCACTTTCTATGAGTCTTATTGGAGAACCTTTGCCCATTATACTTTGAACATAGCAATATTCTTAAGAAGAGTATCTGGGACATTGATCTTCAAATCAATTTAGGTCTGGTTCCCAGCCTCTCAGCTGATTTTTTTTTCCAAATGAGTATGTGCCAGCCTCCAACCTCTTTACCATCAATATTCTGAAATTTTACTGGGCTTTCTGTTTGGCTGGACTGGACACATTGCTTTCTGCTGATGGAACATCACAAAAATATTATCAGCTATTATCAGGAACAGCTCAGTACAGGCAGTCTTTGGTTAATGAATACTCATTCAGCAATTGCTTGAAGTTACAATTGTACTGAATGAGTGGTACTTTTAACCTGTCCAAAAAGTTCTGGCTGTCCAAGCATCCCTGTAATTGTGATCTGAGTGCTTAGCAACTGGCTCGCATTGTCCCACGGTTAAGTAATCATTTGCAACTTCCCACCAGCAGAGTCGGGGGAGAATTCTTCCCAAACCCAGTCTGGCCATGTTCTTGCTGCATCTCACTGACCACTTAGACAGCCTCCCTCATGTGGCGGTAGCCACCTGCTTGCATGCTTGTGAGCTGCCTGGAACTTCTAACTTCCTGTCAGCTTCTCCTCCTTCTTCCACCACAGAAAATTGTGTGGAGGCCCTTGCTTAATCACAGCAGCAGGGATGGCTGCGGTTACTATTTCTAAGTGATGTAATCATGTGACATCACACTTTTTGATTGCATCACTTAGCAATGGAATTTACAATTATCCCAAATATCATAATCGCCAGTGGAATCTTTGGGCCGTAAGTTCCTTTATTACTCTGCTATATAAGAAATTTCAGATGGCTTTTATCCATCTATCCTGAAGAGATTCCCTGACACAGCCTGAGTTCTATTTGCTATTTCTCTTGTCTTACCGTTAGTTGGGTATATTCTCCCAGATTGCCCAATTGTGTTCTTCCATGTGTACCATCCCTCCCTCCTTGAGTTTGAAAAATTGTATTAATTCCTTATTCATACACACAAACATATATTTCATTTTTAATTGTTTGTATTTGACTGCTGGTTTTATGGCTGTGGTAAAGGTTTGCTTTGCTTTAATTTGATTTGATCTGATTTGATGCCTGCCTATCTCTCCTCATCTTTCTAACTGATGCATTCCCTGCTCCCCTTGTGGATCTGGGATTTGCAATTTCTCTTAATTTGATGGAAAGCTTTTTAGAGAGTTATTGAAAACCAATGCCTTGCTTTTCCTTTATTTCATTCCTTTATTTCATACCTTCATGCCTCTACCTATACTTCTAAGTCTCCTTTCTTTCATGCTATGACTATTATATATTGTTGCCAGGATACTGTTGCCAGCTTCCATTATCCTGGAGGTACCATTTGCTCCTTCAAATGAAAAAGAGAAAGAAACTGTTGAGAAGAGAGAGGCCATTTTGAAACTGACAATAATCTGCAAAGCAGCTTTTTCTTAAGTGGTCTTGAACATTAAAATAAATTGACAATGGTATAAATACATGTCTAATAGATAAATAAATAAATAGGCCCGATAGGCGCCTAATGGAAGACATAAAGATGTCATTCATGACATGACACCATTGCAATAATGATGTGAATTACATAATTTGTGTAAGGAACATCAACTATATAGAATCTGATTTGCATATGTGTGTGATGACCTAATGCCGTGTACAGCATCCTCTTGTGGATGCCCAATTATAAATGCTTTTGAACTATGTAAAGAATTCATTTCCTTATTTTTTCCAAGAAAAAATATCAGCAAATATGTAAACAAATAGGAGGGAAATATATGCAGTAATATAGAAATTACAGTAAACATGATTAAAACACTTCCTGAAATATGATTAACAATTTATTAGTTTTTTTCATCCTCCTAATGAGAAGGTACAAGCGTATAAAGGTGATCTTTTAATAATCTAGAGATTATTGAAATGAGCTAATGAAATGCATTTTTACAGTCATGGTACTGACTCAGTATAATAAATAAATTGTACCACTCTTTTGAAACTATTAAAGCAAACCATATTAATTGGTAGTGTGCTAAAATAAATTAGCTCATTGAAAATGCTGGTGAGACCCCATAATGAGTTTCACTATTAAATCATTTTAGGGGCCAGCTGTAAGGGTAAATTGAGGTATTTTCATTTATAGTCCATGACATTGGGTAATATAATCCTATATATTCTAATGGAAGACCAGTTGAGATTAATGGGATTTACTTTCAATTAAGGGATTATAAATTTGCATCGTACTATTTTTTAAGTGGCTTTATTTTAACTTGCATTGTACATAAAGAAGTCTCTTAATAAAGGCATTGGAAAAAACCTGAATATTAAACAACTGTGAATAAGGACAAACACGTCTTCAGGACACTCCAATCACAGTGTGAAGCAAGTCAGATAAAAATCTTATTAATAGAGGAACATAAAGAATGTTTACCATTTTAATACATCAGTTTTAACACTTGCTTTTAAATAAATGTGTTCTTGGTGTATGGCACTATTTAAAGTTGTGTGTCCTTGTTTTAATTTTGGTCTTTTAGTTTCTAGTGTGTTGTCTTTTTGGCTTTGTTTTACTGCTTTTTCTTTAATTTTGCTTACCAGAGCCAAAGCCTTAGTAGAAGAACAGCGCCTTTTGTTCCTAGGGTTCAGGTAAAGGCTTAATCTGCCTGACAGAAACTAAAGTTTTTTTCTTTTTGGTTGTTGTTGTTTTCTTGGAAAATGGATAGTAGGAGAATGTCACCGTTGGTCCATTTTCCCATTTTAATTTTTGAATGTGTTGTTTTAGACCATCTTAACAAATATCATATTGTCTTGTGTACAGCTTGAAAAATATTGCATGGATATCAGAACCCTACACTGAAATTTAAAGAGACAACTAGCTTTCAGTTTTGATTTTATCTATATTTAAAGAGCCATTCATAGATATTAATAGTAATAATAATTCTGAAACTTCTGTAACTGTGTACCTTGAAATAAGTGATATATTCTTTTGATATTTGTCCTTGTATGTTAAAGTTGATGTCTCTTTAAACCATTCTTTCTTTTTTCTGCATTTTCTAAATGACATTTCCTTGAGAAGATGGGCAAATAAATGTGTTCTCATCTAAGAAATTTGCATCTGCAGGCATTTTAAGATGTTAATTGAAATTGTGAAATAAAAATGATTATAATTTTTTGTTGGGATGTTTAGTGTTGATTATATTTGCCTGTTTTATTCGAATACAAATTGTTTGCCCTTTCTCATTAGTTATTCCTTAAGATACTAGAGATCAATCAACCTGTAGATTGTATAAGAATGTCATTATGCTTATTTTGCTTTGCCGCATGCTTTCTTTTTTATTTTATTTTCTTTTGAACATGGAACATTACTCATTTTTATAATATTCGGTGATTTTGAATTTAGACATGATATATGTAGTTCAAATCCTAATAAATCCAGCTTAGTTGAGCAATTTAATCCTCCCAAAATAGTTCTTGAGAAATATAATATTACAAGCTAGTCACTTGGATGTTATTAAAATTAGGCTATATTTGAGCAGTATATAGCGCAATATTTGAGTTGAAATTAAGAAGTTAGTATTGCATATTTTGATTGTCTACAAAGACTTTCATTGGATCAAAACATTTTGGAATTACAACTGTATTATTCATCTGATACTAATGAAAATAACCAGTTACAGGTAGTCCCTGATCGACAGTCGGTAACTTAGTGACTGGTCGAAGTTAGTACCTAGTTGGGTACTAACATCCTGGATTTGAAGTTCTGACAGCTGCCCCCCGGTTCACTGACTGCATTTCAGGCACTTGGCACCTGGGCTACATTTGTAGCCCAGCATCCTATAGTCATGTGACTGCATTTTATGACACTTTTGCTGAAAACCAGGATTTACTTCCAGTTTTTTGGCAAATGGCATCTAAAGTGAATCCTTGGTAGTCTTGACAACTATGGTGATTTGCTTAACGACTGCTGCAAAAAATTAACAACTGTTGCAAAAACAGTCCTAAAGTTGGATCAGTCACATGACAACCACCATAAATTACAACCATGATAGGCAGGCTTCATCACAGTCATAACTTGAAGACTATTTGTAATCAAATTAAAAGTGGCATGGCCAGACATAGTTACCCTTTCCCAAATAATGTAGTAAAGAATCAGCGGTCCATGAAGAAAACTTCAACTTCATTCAAAACCATTAGTTATCTTATCTTTTTCATCCTGCATTTGATTTTAATAATTGTAGATCAGAACATATCTATATGGTATCTAACTTTAAAATACTTTCTATTGTTCTATCTTAGCAGAGATTTGTTGGGTATGCATAAAGCTTAGGTTAGAATAACTAATTATTTGTTTATGTCTTACATGAATTTTAAACTATTTCAAATTTGGGAAATACAATTTAATATAAGATTTCAGAGGAAAAGAATTCTAGAGCTATGTAAGGGTTTAAATAATATTTTCAGTGTGCAGAACAGGGTGGTAATATGATAACTATATGTTTGAAGAAAATGTCTGTAAAATCATTTTACAGATAAATGATTGTATTTGATAAAGTCCATAGAAATTCACAACCATATTTCAATGTACAAAACATTTAATATAGTATAACTCCCATTTTGTGCTTTAAATGGAACCTTGACTCAAACTTGCCTATAAAACTCATTGGCACTTAATTCTGAGTAGGTATACATAGGTTTATACTACCAGACAGCCGCCTTAGAATATTCATTGCAATAATAAAATACAGTGTAGATTAAGCATTTTATTTATCTTATATTTACTTATTTTATCCTGTAATTTTCTAGAAAAATTGCCTAATTCATAATTTCTCTTTACAGATAAAGTTGTGGTATGACAAAGTTGGCCATCAATTAATAGTCACAATATTGGGAGCAAAAGATCTTCCTTCAAGAGAAGATGGGAGACCAAGGAATCCCTATGTTAAGATTTACTTTCTTCCTGACAGAAGGTAGTATGAACAAAATTAGTGGGTATTGATACAAATGAATTTTTGTGAATAATATCTAACAGAATGTAATTATATAATATATAATAGTACAAATATATTAAATATTAAAGTATTTTATCAGGGCTGATCTGTTAACAAAATCCAATTTCTAAAATCAATAATACACCTAGATTTTGAAGTCATCATGAAACACTGTCTTTGGCCTGATGGGATGCTTAATGATTTTAGTTCTGCATTTAACACAATTCTTCCACATAGACTAGTGTCTAAACTTCTGAACCTTGGGCTTTCTAATTCAATCTGCCTTTGGATTTTGGATTTCCTGTCTAGCCACTCACAGAGGGTCAGATTAGGTAATCATACCTCTTCAGCCCTTATTCTTAACACTGGTACACCACAGGGTTGTGTGTTGAGTCCCTTACTCTATACTCTTTTTGTGCATGACTGCATTCCCACTCACGTTAGTAATACTATTGCTAAATTTGCAGATGATACAACAGTGGTGGGACTTATCTCCGAAGGGGATGAGTCTGCCTACCAAGATGAGGTGGACCGGTTGCTTTTGTGGTGTAGAGACAACAACTTGGTCCTCAACACCAATAAAACTGAGGAGCTTATAGTGGATTATAGAAGGAACAGATCAGACATCCAGCCCTTGCTTATCAAAGGAAACCCAGTGGAGCAAGTGGCCAGTTTTAAATTTCTGGGTGTTACCCTAAAAGAGGACCTGACCTGGGGTGCCCACATTGCAGCCCTGGTCAAAAGGGCTCAGCAGAGATTATACTACCTGAGGCTTCTCAGAAAACAACAACTGAATGAGAAACTGCTGGTGACCTTCTACCGCTGCACCATAGCAAGCATTTTAACATACTGCACCTCTGTATGGTTTGCCAATTGCACAGTGGCAGATAGGAAAGCACTCCAGAGGGTTAATGTCATTGCCCAGAAGATCATTGGTTGCCCTCTCCCCTCTTTGGAAGAGCTTTATAGCTCCTGCTGCCTTAAGAAAGTTCAAAACATTCTCAAAGATCCATCTCATCCTGGGAACCCTTTTTTTGAACTATTACCATCTGGCAGACGGTACAGAATAATAAAAACAAGGACAAATAGGCTGAAAAACAGCTTCTATTCCAGGGCAGTAGCTTTTTTGAATTCTGCTGTATAGTGCAGTGTTGGTGTGGTGTCGGGGTTTCCGGTTCAATGTGTGAAGGGTGAAGGATGCGTGTTTGTGTTTATTTTCATGGTCATGGTCATGATGTGCATTGAAGATGGTGTTTGATTTCGTTGTACGAGGTGCAATGACAGTAAAGTAAATTAAACTAAACTCATGGGAAACATTGCTGCTTTTATCAACACACTGAAGTTTTCAAAGAGAATCTAGGAGTCTATAGAGAATCTAGGAGTCTATGGTATTCTTGTCCAAAGTTCAGGGCAGCTCAAATATAGGGGGAAAAACTGTAGAGGGAACTGTAGAGGGAGGGAGGGAGGGTGGACGAAAGGATTTCTATCTCCCATATTTGTTATTTCTTAATAAGTAATAGTTATTTTTTATAAACTTTTTAGAAATCAGTCTTACTGTACTCCAAATAGTCATTGCCAATATTGTCCTTCTGTATTTATTTTCACCCTCAAGCCCACAAAATATTATTTAAATTAATATGTAATTCTTTTCTAAGCTTCTCTGTACTGAGTTACAGGTGTTATATTAAATATTTTGAAATAAAATTTAAATAATATTCATTTAACAAAAAGTTTGCTTGATGTTGAAATGTCTGTTAAATACAGTAGTTTCTCTATAATGACATTTCCCAATTTGGTTTAATTGTTGCAATTACAGTCATTTTAATGTTTCCATTTTGAATGTTGAGTTATCTCTTTGGTTAGGGTTCTTGAAGTAGGGGAGTGTCAAGGGAGGGTACAAAATTGGTGTTTTAAATAAATTTTGCTTAAGTTAAGCTCAGACCTTTGAACGTTATTAAACTAATGTACTAATGGCATTTCTGTCGCTTTTTATAATATATTATTTAGATTATTTGCCAGACATTATTTTGAAATGAACTCTCTTAATATTTGCATGCCTATTTTATAAAATATTTCAATTTATCTACTAAAATATGTCATGTCAAAAGTATTGCTGAAGTTTTACAACTATTTTGATTAAAATATAATGTTTTTTTGTGGAGTGGAAGTTTTTAGTCAAATGAAAAAGGAAAACAATTCTTCAGAATATAACATCTGACAGCTATTGATCATGTATCAGCTTATTTTGGAAATATTCATGTGTTTCTAGCATCTCAACCAGTGCAGTGCATAGTAGCATATCCATAGTTTTCAGAATATTTGTAGATATCTGTGTGAAGTGAGTGTACTTTTTCAGTGCAGAAATGGATAACTTGTACACTAACTACTACTGAAGGGGAGCAATGTATGAATATTTCTTATGACAATTCCTTGACAATAACATTCCTAAATCTCCTTGAATTTTGGATCAAAGTGAAGAATCGATAAAAATAATGAAAAGAGAAGGCTTGAGAATACTGATTTTGTTTACAACATCCTATTTGTACTAATCAGAATTTTCTACAGTTGGTATTGAAATAGCAACTACTAATAAAAATATTGTGGAATAGGTGATTACCTCAGAAGTAAAGCTCAATTTCGGGAATTTTGTAAAAGGAATTAAACTTGTCTTTCCCATTAAAATGTTATTTTTTACTATTCTTCCTAATATCAACATCTTTAATATATACTTCTTAATTACAGTGATAAAAATAAAAGAAGAACAAAAACAGTAAAAAAAACATTGGAGCCCAAGTGGAATCAAACATTTATTTATTCTCCAGTTCATCGGAGAGAATTTCGAGAGCGAATGTTGGAAATTACTCTTTGGGACCAAGCTCGTGTTCGTGAGGAAGAAAGTGAATTTTTAGGAGAGGTAGTCAATGCTATTTATTGTTTACAAGGAATAAATATTTGATATCTTCATAGGCACAAAGGTATAGTAAATTCTACAATGAACAATGCTGTATTATCCCATATTCCTGGTAGCACTTTTTATATACCTTGTAACTATTTTTGAAGCTGTTCAGTTTCCATTAACGTAAGTAAATATACAAATATCACATAGTGCATATTTTATTAAACAGATATAGTGCAAATGATGTGTTTTATTTGAACTTTCTTATTTTATTATCTTTTTTTAGATTCTTATTGAATTAGAGACAGCATTACTGGATGATGAGCCTCATTGGTACAAACTCCAGACTCATGATATGTCCTCATTGCCACTTCCCCATCCTTCCCCATATTTGCCACGTCGACAACTTCATGGGGATAGCCCTACACGAAGGTTGCAAAGTAGGTTATAGAATACTATTAGTTTGTGAATGGGCTAATTGAAATGCTTTCTTATGAAGTGAAAATTTATATAATAATAATATAGTATCTCTTCAGTTTTTATAAACTAATTGATATATATTGTCTACATGTTTGAGAATCAGGAAAAGCTAATGTCGAGAATTCATTGTATATTGAGAAATTTGTTTTCTCTAGTTCCTTTTTGTTGTCTTGCCCATTTATATTATATACAGTATTACTTTCTACATGTAGCTGTCACAATGCAATTGTGGCCTTTACAACAGTTTGGAAATACAGGTAGTCCTCAGTTAATAACGGTAATTTCTAACTCCATCAATGGTAGTTTTACAGTTCCAGTTGTGATTGTTCAGTGAATCCCAATCATTAGGTATATTGTCATGTACTTGCTATTGTAACTTCCTGCTGGCTTCCCCATTGACTTTGCTTGTCAGAAATTGGCAGTGAAAGTTACAAATGATGATCACATGACTTCAGGACACTGTGACTACCGCCACTTTGAGAAAGGCCATAAGTCTCCTTGTTCAATATCATCATCCCTTCAAATAATTGCTGAACAAATGGTTGTTAACTAAGGTACTTGTATTGGAAAAAATAATATTTACAATAAAAAATTATTTGGAGAATTCAGCCATAAATTTTGAAGAAAAAAATCAAACTGTAATACATTGATTTAATTTTTTAAAAATGATTTGAAAATGATTTTTTAAAAATATATATCTGTAAAATCCATGAATATAAATCTTACATAAATTTAAAAACTTCTTTTACATTATGCTTCCCTTTGCTTCACAAATATGTCTAATATGTCTTCTTTGAAATCCTTAAACTTCACAAACATTCCTTTTAGCTACATGTGTATAAAAATATGATTATAAATATAACATGTTAGCTAGTAGATTTAAAATCCTTTGAGCATCATACCAAGATCAATTGGATTCCTTAACATTTCTTCCTGGACAGAAAAAAAAAGAAATATTAAAAGTTGTTCACACCTCTGTTTTATATGCAAGTCTTACCCTCCCATAGTCAAGGTGGAGTTAGGCAGCTTATACATATAATAAACAAAAACAAATCTAAACTTGGTACATTTTGAATTATGAAATGCAGTTCATATAGGTGAGCAATGAAATTTGAGTCCTGTTCCCTAAATCTGACTGCCTCAATCTTTTACCCTGGAGGAATCCTTATAGTATTTTAGGCTTCAAGGAACCCTGCATAAAAATTACAAAAAAAGATGAAAAGTAATTTTTATGCAGGGTTCCTTGAAGCCTAAAATACTATAAGTATTCACTTTTTAAAATCACAATGGTAAATACTATTGTATTCACTTTTAACCTGCACAATCTACATTTATAATGTTTGCAACAACAGCAAAACAATAGACCAGAGGCTGATATGCAACTTGTAAAATTCTCCAACATTTCAAGGACCTAGCATTGTGATGCATAATGTTAAAAAAAGTGTTTCTCATTTTGTTTTCAAACATGACCTTATGCTTCTTTTAATTTTTTGCTCTCTTTTATACAATAAATGGTTTGGGCATGTTAGGCTAATGTGCTTATTTGAGTAGATTCCTTATGTAATATGTAATGTAACAGAACATTAATCTAGTCCAATTATTCTGGTATTGAATAATTAAAGAATAATTCAAATTTTCCATCATAGATTATAGTCCTAGTTTTAAAAATCTTCTGTAATATGATTGACTTTTACTGGGGGTGAACCATAGCTTACTGTGGCATGTCAATTAGATTAAACTATATTTTCCATAAACACTTCGGGTCCATACCAGAGCATGAACAATTTGAATTGGTTACTAATAAAGAAGAGTTTTCTTTCAGATGTGTCATTACCCAAATTAGTCATCAATATCACTAGTACAGATGATCTTACCTAGTTTGAGTAATGAAATTTATGCAATAAAACAAATCACTCAGAAAGCACCAAGGACCGTCAAGTTTGAATTGGGACTTGTCCTTTGGTTTACAGGCAAGTTATGATGGATTTAGAACTGTCTCATTTTAAAGTTATGGCAGAAGGAATTGGAACACAAAAGGCCAATCATGAGAATTAAAGATACCTAACCCTGAATCCAAACCACAATTGGGCATTATATGTGTTTTTTTATAAAAAGTAAAATAATACTTTTAATGAACTCTCTCAGGTCTCATGTAGGTGGCAAAATCAAGAAAGAAATAACAATTCAATAAAGAGTCTTTAATACTAGTTCACGATAAATACAAATTCTTGGAAACAATAATAGGAATTTCTCGGGGCTTTTTTTTTTTACAGTGAATTAAGGCAGACTCTCTTGGAAATTTATCAGTGCAGAATTTGGTACCATTGGGAAGCTATAGCTGGTAGAAAATACACTGGTGCAAGCAGAAAGAGATGCTTCTGAGTGAGCCCATATGTCACCATTAGCTGCACTGTTTTCCAGTTGGCTTCCAGCTGCAATTCAAGGTGCTGGTTGTTACCTATAAAGCAGTTCATGACAGAAGACCTGTTTATCTGAAGGACTATGCATATCCCCTTGTTTCTGGTACATTCTCGCACTCCAGATCCCTTCCATTAAACATTGCCATTTTACAGGACTGGAGAACCTTTTCTGCTGTGGCTCCTATTTCTGGAACATAATCCCCATGGATATCAGATTTTCCCAAAATGGCCAGCTTTTTGTAAGGAAAAAGCTTTAAGTTCTATGATAATAGCACTAACTTTTCACATCCATTATTCATAATGCTGAACATATCTGTAGCAATGTGAGAAAAAGAGAAAGTTATTTTGCAATAGGGAGAGATGATACACCGAAGAGCATTGCAAGTGTAAAGTTAACAGTAGGGAGACCCTGATAATTAAGTAGGAAACTATGGGGGAAATAAGATTATTGAGCCAAACACCAGTTAAGGAATTATGTCAATATTATATCTTGTTGTGTTTGGCTAGCAAATAGAACTAACAGAATGAAGTTTTCTGTGTTTGAAAATAGCTAAAGCACCCTGATGATTTTTAGGATCACCAGATCATTATGGAGTAGGGACATACAGTAAATATAGCATATATATAGGAAATATAGCATATATATAGCATATATATAGGATTACTCTAAAAAGTTATAAAAAACATATAATTCATGTCTGCTTTGTCAAATAAAAATAGCAGTTCCACTTAATTATATACAACCTTTCAAATTAAGTACATTTCTGTTACATGTCAAAACCTCATATATATATTTTCTGATATCACTTCATTTTACAATTTTCCAGATAAAGGCTCATATTCATATAATCCAGGTAATTTAAAAGCATGCCATTTATTGTTTGTGATTTTTCCCCCTAATGCTATTGATGTGCTTTTGCTATTAGTTGTGGTCCAGTTCAGTTGCTTATTTGTTTTTTTTTTGGATTCCTTTCTGTTTTCAAAAATTAGTCTTTATCCTTGCACTATTTCTAATCATACAATTCTTACTAGTGTTATAAACAATTTGCTAAAAAAATAGAACTGCCACCTAACTATTCATTCATTGTGTTTCAATGTAAAGTTAATATAATATTAATATTAATATCTTGATAGTACTTTATGACAATTTGTGTTAAATTTAAAATTTATACTAATATATTACCTTCTTACTTATAATTCCTTACTGATATGACACTATACAGGAGTACTATGGAGTGATTATATTTCCTTTATTGATAGTGGTATTAATCAGTGGGGGGATTCAGCCAGTTCATGCCACTTCAGGAGAACCGGTTGTTAACTTTCTGAGCAGTTTGGTGAACTGGTTGTTGGAAGAAATCATTAGGGCAGAGAACCAGTTGTTAAATTATTTGAATCCCACCACTGGTATTAATCAGAAATTATATGTTAGAAATATTTGTCTTCCAGCTATGTTTTTTTTTAAAAAAACCCAGTAAATACCAATCTTATCTGTAATACTCATAGCTCTATATTAACATTTTTTCTTGATAACTGTTGCAAGGTTATTTGTTTTGAATCAGAAATTTGATTAGAAATGGATTAACTTAAACATCTGAGATATATTGTGTTTAAATGAAATCAGCAGAACAAGTTAAATCATAGAATTGGATACAATTTCCTAAATCAATTCAGTAAATAAATACATCCAGTTTGCTGTTTTACATTAAAGCCTCAAATTAAATCAACCTTCCTTTAAGACCCTAAATGGCTTTGGACCGGGTTTTCTGAGGGACCACCTCCTCTTTCAACTGCTTGGTCATCCAGATTAAATTTCATGTCCTTGCTTCAGCAGAGAGGCAACCATTCATGCAAGCATGGTGTGAAAGATTGTGTATGAAGCTTGAGAAAGTACTAGGGCATAGCATATAGTGGAAAAGAGGTTCAGTAGAAGCATTGATGGGAAGTGAGGGAGAGTGCACATACTGATGGTTAGAACAGTGCAATTACGGCAAGGCTTCTCGATGCATCATACACACTGGGTAAGAGTTTGGTTGCAAAAGCAGTGAGGGAAGATGAGCTAGAGCAGGGCTGTCAAACTGGATTTCTTTGAGGGCCGGATCACCATTTTAGTTATCCTCCGCAGGCCAGCTGGGGGTGGGGAGGAGATGGGACAGATGGCAGATGGGATGGATGCCCCCTGCAGCCCCCTGCTGACCAAAACGGGGCCCAGGGGGACCATGGAAGCCCCCCCTGCATCCCATTTTGGCCAGCAGTGTGCTGCAGGAGGCCATCTAGGCCAAAAAAGGTGTGTGTGTGGGGGTGGTGCATGCCTCCCCATGCCCCATTTTCACTAGTAGAGCCACCACCATGGGCTGGTCCTTTGCTATTTCCAAGATGGCCATATAGGCCAGATCTAAGCACCCGTGTGCCAAATCTGGCCCACAGGACTTGAGTTTGACACCCCTGAGCTAGAGGCACAAGGAGAGTATGGACATGGACATGTGGGAGTATGTGTGGGATGCAAAAGAGGAGCGATGTTAGAAAAGGCAAATGAGAAATGTGTGTCTGGTACTTACCATTTAGTCTGTAATCTGAAAACACACAATGTTTTGAAAGAATCATGAGACAAGCCAGAGACTTGATCAGGAACCTGCTGAGGTTGAGAGTAGGAGTCAGAAACAAGAAACCACAAATTATGGGAACAGGAAGGCAAATGCTGAAGTTGCTTCCAGCAATGAAAGGCAGTCCCTGCACACTTTAAATCCTCACCCACTGAGCACACACAGTTGAAGCTTTTCTTGCTCAGTGTTGGTAATGATCAGATGCTTTTCCTCCCTACTTATTAATTTGTAATAATAAAGGTTACCATTGAAGTTTTTTCTCTTCTAATTTTTAGTGTGTTATTTCACAACCTAAAGAATTTATTTTATTTATTTTTTATTTATTTATTTGTGAAGCAAGTATTAGATAACAGGTATAAGTATAAACATGGTTATAAATACATGAAATGGATACGAATAAAAAAAGAAACAATAGGACAGGGATGGTAGGTGTTAGATCTGGGAGAGTGGGT